AGGACTTCCATCTGGGGTTGTCAGCGCAGTTCTTCCCTGTTTCCTGGTTACCTGATTGCAACAACAATCCTCCCAATGCAAGAATTGAAAATCTGCCACAGCCAGGTGCCAGGCACTGTGCTGCTAAGGGCTGTGATGGCGGCCCTCATCGTAACAGTGGGAAACAGTGTCACAGGTGTGGACCAGGACCAGGCTCCTGTCTGAGTCTTGGGCATGGGCTCGTATACACTCCTAAGAACCCAGGGCTGTGTGCCCTCCATCCACCTCTTTGCAAGCAGAAAGCGATTTGGCCAAGGCCTTGAGGCTGTGCCACAGTAGAAGAGAGGCCATAATGAGTCTTCAGTGTCCCTTACCAGGATCGACACACATGTCACACGTGGGCTCATACGTGCACACACAGGCACACATGTACGTATACACACATGCGCATGTACATGCAATGTCAGATCGTCTCTCAGCAATGCTGCAGGGGAGAATCAGGTTGCAAGAGCAGGGTCAGCTTGCCCTGTCTGCCTCGGAGGCGGGGTGTGCAGCTGGAGGACAGAGGCTTCAGTGTCTTGGTGGGCCTCTCTCGGAGTCTCTGTGCACCTTTTTGCTTGTTTTGTGCTGTAAAAGTTTGCTTATTCACTTGCTTAGGCAAGCACAGGGACCAGGGTTCAATCCCTGGCACCATATGCCATGCCAACCTCGGCCCTGGATGCACTGAGCCAGTCATTGAGCCTGGGCGTGATGGCACATGCCTGCAATTCTGGCGCTGGGGAGGCTGAAAACAGGAGGATCACTATGAGTCCAAGCTGTGTAGTGAGACCCTGTACCAAATACATAAAAAACAAAAAATAAATAAAAGTTTGCTTATTGCTAGATGTGGTGGTGCACACCTATAATCTCAGCATGTGGGATGCTGAGGCAGGAGGCTCCTCATGAGTTTGAGGCCGGCCTAGGCTACATAATGAGTTCAAGGCCAGCCTGCCTTGCACAGTGAGACCCTGTTTCAAAAAACACCAAAGGAAAAAAGTTCTGTTTATTGTTTAACCTTAAAAATAATGAGTTCAACCACACCAGCAGTGGCCATAGGCTTTCTGAGCCTCCCAAAGAGCCAGGCAGGAGAATCTGCCCAGGCACAGCCTGGCTCTGTCTGCGTCTCGGAAGCCTGGGCCTCCCACCTGTGCTTGGTGGGCTCCAGGGCTCTGAGAAGTGGATCGGTGAGGGGTAGGAACAGCAGAGCCCCAATGTCACTCTTCCTTTGGGTAGCAGGCCTTACAGTCAGTCACTCAATCAGAAAACCTGTACAGTGGGCTGGGAAGATAGCTCAGCAGCGTAAGCACCTGCCTGGCAAGCACAAGGTCTGAAGTTCGACCCCAGTACATATGCCCTGCTGGTCCTGAAACTGGGTGTGTTGGCACATGCCTATAATCACAGCGCTGGGGAAACTGAGACAGAAAGATCACTACAAGTCTGCCTTTGTAACGAGATGCTGTATCTAAAAAATAAAGAAAAAAACAAAGAAAAATTGAGTGGTATGATGGGGTTCTTGGGGTGCTGGGGCCAAGCGGTGGTCCTCGTTTGCCAAAGGCACAGTGGGTATAATTAGTAATTACTGTCATGGCCAGAAGAAGCAAAGCAGCAATCAGCAGAGTCTGGCCCGCGCAGATCCGTGGCGCTGGCGAGTTAGTTAATAATGGTGTTCTAAGAAGGGAGCTAGAAGCCGGCCGGCTGTGTTCTTACTCCATCTGTGTAAGCAGAAAAACTCCGAGGCCAGCAAACTAAAGTCCAACTGGAATCACAGAACACAGAACTGTGGCCCTCAGTCTATTCCCAGGCCGGAGCTAGTCTGTGCACCCTGAATTCCTGAGCAAGAGGAGGCCAGGTCCCTTGAGTTAGGACCCCGTGCATCCACAGAAATGTATACTGCTACGCCAACGTTCCCCCCAGGGACTTGTGTCTTTTTACCAGGGACCTTGTGCTCCAGAGAAAAGGGACTAGCCCTTCAGGGACTCCTGGGCGCTGACTCTGTAATGACCCTGATTCTAGCAAACTGCTCCTGTGGCTGCCAGTTAGACAGGGGCTCGTTACAGCA